CTATAGGGGTCTACAACAATATTTTCGTGAATTTATCGATTGTGTGTCTTGTCCTAGTCCGCATGGCGGTTTTACTCTTATTGCTTATGATGGGAATTGACTATTGTAGTGGCTTGTAGTCAGTGGCTGAGGTGCGGGCCGCGTCGGTTTGGATTCCTGGACTCTGATTGGCTCCTGCCTTCTATGACATAGGCTCTCTGCAGGTTCACCCGATCTGCAGAGCCATTACATCATTGGTATCTGGAATTGATTGCAGGCTGTAGAAGGGCCAGAAAAATTGTGAAAAATGCGGGAAATCCATAATATATTCAGAGCTCTATAGCAAATCAAGGAATATACAAGATGATCCTGAGAGGTCTAGTGAAATTCAAATAATACTTCAAGAAAGATAGGAATATTTGTGTCAGCTCTATGATATACAGTGTAAAATAGGGAGTATCTTATGCCCAGCTCAGGACTAGGCTAGTGCATATTTCCGATACAGCATAGGGAAGTCCCCCCTTAGCCCACTGTTGGAAGTGAACCCCACCCAGACGAGTAGCTGGGGCGCCGCAGCAGTGGTAAACCACGTGCGTGGACCTTGCTGAATATACAGCAAGGAACTTCGTGCCGTTGACTGCTCGTTGTGCTCGCAGTACTATAACCTAGTAGTTGTAATTTATCCTGTAGATAATGTACCAGGAGGAGCTACTGAGCTTTGGGACTCCCCATTGACAGTAGGAGACAGTCTGAAAAGCTACAGTTCTCTCAGTGTGATTTTTGATCCCAGTAAGGCTTCTACTGGGCCACATTTAGTGCCTCGACCCCCCCACTTTAAAGGAATTGTGTACATGAGATTCTATGCGCTCTTGCGCATTCAGTGCGTACGTTATAGGCAGTATAACCCTCGGTGTAGGGTAGAGGAACCATTGAAGAGGTCGAGACTATATACGTGCCGAGGTCCGGCAGATGCCAACCATGTGCATCTGCCGTTTTGGGCGGAGAATCCTGCCTTTTTGAGCACGCGCGAGAGCCTGGGGGGACTTCTGCGACGCTGATACTAAACGGGTACAAGCCTCCATTAAAGACAGTTGCTCGTCTACTAAGTCTTTTTTAAGAGGCGCAGGATCAAGCCTACTCAGGACTCGTAACCAGCCATGCACAGCATTGGCCCACTCCCCCCAAGTAGATAAGTACAGATATTTGGTGTTAGCCGCTCAATATGACCGTGGATCTGTAGTCTTCCCAATCAACTGAGTTTCTAGTCCTGTTGGCGCAGTGCGAAGTGTCCAATTCGTCAGATCTAGAGCAGTTCGATGAAATCGACCAATCAAATGAACCGTCCGGGAGACAGGACCAAGGAATAGCTCTCAAAAGGCAAAGAGAGGTTCAGACCAGAAGTTCGGAATGAACTTTCTAGAAGGGGATCCATATTCGAAGGCGAATATGGGTGTTCCGCATTTTCATTGGTAGGGGCGAAATATGGAAGGGCCTCACTATTATTGCCCATCGTATCTCTTGACAGAACTTAAGCGAGCACTGTTCTATCCCCAACTGCTGGTTCAACTGCTAATGACGGTATGTGACAAATCATGCATCTTCATCTTATCAGGGTTAGGGGCTGTTGCACTGTTGCATCGCCTTCTATGTTGCAGTCACTTCTTTGTGGCTTGTCGTCCCGAATGCAGATACCGGATGAGCTGTCAACTCTTGGTATAACCACCTTCTCTTCTTTCCATAAGACTCGGTATCAGGGATTTATGCAACACCAGGCTGCTTCACTGACTATAGCCATGGATGGTTCACGATTGGGTACTCTTTCAGCGGAACATTCGGATTGATTGTGGATGGTTGGTCTGCAGATGGACTGAATGGAAGTGTTCCATAGACTTTGATATATGCAGCATGTGAGTGTTCATCAAGTGCGGCGAGCAATCTGATCTCTATAATCGTACCGTGGTCATGTATAGATTCCCTAGGCTTGCTATCGAATGCGCGCCGGCTTCACTGACAGGCTGTTTTGTCTCAAGATGACCACATTAAACTTCGATCTTACCCTCGGGCCCTTCTTCTGGGGCACCGTAATAGTGTTCATGTAAGTACCCGTGTTCGGCGAATCATAGTATACCTCACACTGCAGAACGAAGGCTATATGGTGTCACCACTGCTCAGACAGCCTTCTTTTTCCGAAGTAAGCTTGGAGACAAAGGGACATTTAAAGCCCTGGTGCGCACTCCCTTTTTCATACCTCAACTACAGTAGTGTGAGCACTCGACCAGATTCTCTTTCTCTGGTACGTGGGTAGGTATTGCCTCCACTTCCCTGACTGCATGTTGGCCAAGGACAATCGACACATTTCATTTCATCGCTGTAACCATCGTTGTCTACCATTATTTGGTGGGAGAGGCTAAGAATGTGCTTGGCCTTCTCTCTATATATTGGTAGGAAGTACTCACCATTTCCTCCATACAAAGTTTGACTTGTATAGGGGTCTTGTTGTACGTCCTTCTGAACAGTGTCAGTATTGGAGTGCACTACAGATATACATTCCGTTAGGCTTCAATTGTCGCCACAGTGGGTGTCCCGCTTCCAAATGTCTTCTCTAGGATTCGCTTTACTCTTTCTATAGGTCACTAGTGACCTCATCGTGCGCTCGTCAGTCTCCCAAAACTCTTCTACACGCTATGCATCCTCAAAAGGACATTGTCTTTACAGGATCTACGCTCAGAGGATATGGCTTCGTATGTGGCTCACTGGCTTTCCGAGGACTCATTTCGTTTACAGTTTGATTACGCAGTCAGCGGACGCAGCTGGCCATTGCTAGCGGCTGTCGTGAGTAGACTCCTCTACCGAACTTCTCTTGTCCATTGTTTAGACGCGTCTCGTCAGGTAGCGGTTTCTCTCCTGGCTGACGGTCAGTAACTATCGGCATCTTGACCTCAGAAACCCTGTCGATGCTGATGAGTATTCGTTGGATAGCGACTGGAATAGGTAGGCGGCGTTGTTCCGTGCTGTAAAGAGTTATTACTGAAGGGTATTGAGCATACGGCGTTGAACTGTCGGCTACCTTCTGTTCTACAACATCATGCACTGCTTGCTCATGACTCAACCTATCCATAGAGCGAAACTGAAGCTGTTTGAAAGCTTGCCGTCCTTGTCGGTAAGTCAACTACGATTGACCATGGCTGCAGCGTAATTTACAACTCGATCTTAGTGGTTAATGTACACCAGCCTCGGCGCCGCTGTCATGGCGGACACTGCCATAGCCGGTAGTCTCTGTGTGCTCCTGTGGAAGCGTCGGACATCTTTCAGCAGGTCAGTCGTTATAGATTCTTCGTTACTTTTCGCTGGATCGGCCAATTTCATGATACCATACAGGACAAACTCCCTTGTATCTAGCTTGATGGTTTACAGTATCCAAACTGGGTTATTTACATGGTAGGTCGCAACGTCGTTATCGCAATACTGAGGTCACGCAGCTCACTTGCACGATGCTAGCATCTGCTCCATTGCATGCATTATGACGGTGCGCATTGCAGTTGCCCCCGGAGAGAATGTCTGAGTGCGCACGATCTTACATCTCATTATGCTAGTAGTATGCGCTCTTGCCCTCAACCCTAATATTCATGGGGATCTACTCGTGGTTGAGCAAACGTACTTCCTCTCTATCCGGCCAGTCCGTAGCTTATCAACTGACCGTCGCTTATGATAGTCTACGTGAACGCCTTACTTGCATACCTCAATGCTCGTATGAGACTCAGGAACGATAGGTGTGGTCCCCAGTCGGTACATTCTTCAAGGATCTAGGGTCGGCCGGGATGTAGGAAGGAGCGTCGAGTACGCGGAGCCGTACGGAGTGTGTTCTCCAGCTGCGTACGTCGCAGGCAGTCCTTGGTTCGATTTTTGCTACCATACGTCCTTCTCATCTCGGCGACGGAATTTGTGAGTTCTTGAATCCCATGTTTTACCGCGGTTGTATGCCCTTTCTCTGTGATGAGCCTGTACGAGCAGTTAGACGCGTCATGCGAACTCCCTTTGGTACTAGTATTGTACTTGGGACGACTCACACCCTCTATCATCAAGACGGAGAGAAGCGAGAGTCTTGCATTTGGCGTCGAGCCCATACTGAGAGCAGCATGATTCATAGCGATTCAGATGCATTATAATGTCTGATTACAATGCAAGGAAATTAGCCGTCCCCAAGAAGAGATATGTGCGACTCGTACAATACAATTAAATAATTTATGCGTAATGCTAGTCTATGCCGAGACCTCTCTGTGCTCACCCTCTCCACCCATACGATCATACCACTCCTTACCAGATGTCGTAGGAGCAATGTAGCCGGCCCGAATAACGAAGTCGCCGAAACGCTCCCCTTCTAACCGTTCAAGCGCATAGTGCTTGATCATGGGTTTTAGTATCGCGAGAATTTCTGGCTCAGTTACAGATTCTGTGTCCAATATAAGCTCCGCGATATGCGTGAGGAAGTAGAGTAGAACGTACCTCGATAAATTTTATTGAGCCTCTGACCATAATAGCCGCCGCCCAGTAGCATGAGATATGTGCCTGGAGCTTTGCCTACGAACGCAATCTCTGTATGGAAGTCAGTAGATGGACAAATCGCCACCAAAGAAGAATCACGTACCAGCGAGGTAAGGACGGGCGCAACCGTTTGGACATCCAGTCATCCGCATGACTATTGAATCGTTACGAAGACCATTCTCCTCGCAGATCTTCTCGACTTTATCGATGAGAACAGGGAGATACCGCTCCGACTCGGCCATGGCAAGACCACAGGTGGGGAAAGCGACGCAAGCAGAAGAGGAAAGTCTCAAGCCAGTCTGTGATAGATTATCCATCTTGTATTGTGCGAGCAACTCCTTGATCTTTGCAAGCTCGCTGGACGGAATATCGGAGATGACCACATGTTGGTTGGCAGTGAGACGGAAGGTGCCCTTGTGGATCTTGGCGATCTCCCGCAGACCAGTCTTGAAGTCGCGGCCGGGCTCGTCCTGGATACGACCATTCTCAATGAACATGGTGAAGTGATGTTTGCCATCCTCGCCAGTCGCCCAGCCAAAGTCATCGATGTTGCGGTCAAACGAGTAGGGACGAGCAGGTTCCAGCTTCCAGCCCAACAGCTTCTCGACCTCTGACTTGAAGGTTTCGAGACCCATGCGGTCGATAGTGTACTTGAGCCTTGCGTTCTTACGATCAGCACGATTGCCGTTATCCCTCTGGACAAGCATGATCTTCTCGGCCACAGCTTTGCCCTGCTCAACGGTGCAGAAGCCCAGGACATCTGCCGTACGAGGGTACGTCTTCTTGTTACCGTGCGTCACGCCCATTCCGCCTCCCGCCGTAACATTGAAGCCGACGAGGTGGCCCTTTTCCACAATAGCGATGAAGCCTACGTCGTTGGCGAATATGTCCACATCGTTGGTGGGAGGAACGGCAACAGCGACTTTAAACTGGTCACAGCAACGTCAGCCTGATGCAAGGGCACAAACACGATGTATACGAACCTTGCGAGGAAGATAGAACTCTCCGTAAAGGGGTTCGACATCCTTGAGTGAATCGCCAGCGACGAGCTTCTTGTCCAGCCAAATCTCATGATACGCCGTCGTGCGAGGAAGAAGATGCTCGCTGACACCCTTTGCAAACTCATAGATCTCCGCGTGTAGCTTAGACAGCGAGGGAATTGCAGAACACAAGACGTTCCTGAACGACCTTTAGCTCCGACGTGCACGGGTCATTTCACACATACTCACCTGTTCACGTCACCACAGGCAGCGAGCGTATCCAGAAGCGACCTATTGATATCCTGGATCGCAGGCTTCAAATGGCGCTTGATGACCCCATGGAACTGGAACGTCTGCCTCGTCGTAATCTTGAACGTCCCATTCCCGTGCTCGTCCGCGATCTGGTCCATCCTGAGCCACTGGTCGGGCCTGCACACTCCACCCGGCATCCGCACACGTATCATGAACTGGTACGCAGGCTCGACGCCCTGCGCCTGCCGCTCGTCGCGGATATCGCGGTCGTCCTGCTGGTATATCCCGTGGAACTTGGTCAACTGCGTGTCGGCGGGTGACAGTGCGCCGGTCGTGTTGTCCTCGAGCCCTTCAGCGATGGTACCGCGCAGATAGTTGGATGCGACCTTGATGTGTTCGTTTGTGATGGGCTCTGGCTCGGCCTCTGACACTTCGACTGCGTCGACGCCCAATGCTTTCCACAGCAGGGGTTCCCAGACCTTGTACCCTGTTTCAGGGCCGTCCGCATCCTGATCGTCGCCCAACCCGAGCTGCACAACTCGCTCTGCACCGAGCTGCTCCAGCCGCGCATCCAAATCCTTGCCAGCCTTGTTGTAGTAGTGGGCGTCCTCAGGCCTCGGCCAGTAATGGCTGTCGCCCATGCCAAAGACGGAGAACTTTAGTCCCCGGAGAGGCTTCTCTGCCCTGGTAGCAGCAGCGTGCACGGCTTTCGCAAACGTCCGCCCATTCTGCGGGAACTCTCCCTGGCCAGCGACAGAAGTGACGAACGCAACGACACCCTCCTCCTTCGCAAGGTCCTCCAGGGTCACCGAATCCATCGTCTTCACATCCACCGACAATCCCCGCGCCTTCCCTCTGCCCGCAAGCCTCTTCGCGACCTTCTCCGCCTTGCCCCCATCCGACGCATAAAGCACCAACAGCGGCGGCGCATCAATGCTCCCCAACAAATCCTCATACGCCTTCTGCGCCTTTCTCCGCCGCGCCTCTTTCACACTCTCGCCCAGACTTCCGACCAGCTCGCTCGCCAGCTCCGGGCGGCTGCGCACCAACTGCGAAATATGGTTCTGGCGATCCAAAAACGCCTGCAGGTCATTCTTCACCGCGTCCGAATCCAGCTTGAACACCTCCTCGCCCTCCTTGCTCGGGTCCCAGCGGTACAGGGGCCAGTACCCCGCGTCCACCGCCATCTTCGTTTCCTTTAGCACCTCCAGCGCGGGCGCGTCCTCGCGCGCATACGGCAGGTACGCCAGCACCACACTCGGTCCCTTGAACCTATCCGCCTCGACGAGCGCCTGCAGCACCTGCGCGTACGAGCTATACACCGCCACGCTCGCGACATACACATCGCCATGGTTCATCGCGTACAGCCCCACATCCTGCTTGCGCCGCGCGGGGTCCGCGCGCGCGCGCGCGCTGTACGGCGTGCTGTCGACGACGAGCACGTTCACGTCGAGCCCGGACGCGATCGCGTGGTGCAGCCCCGACGCGCCGAGGTCGTACGCCCACGCGTCGGAGCCGATGATCCAGCGCGAGCGCGCGGGGAGGTGGTGCCTCAGCATGAGGATGCGCGCCACGGCGGGGTCCTCGACGTTCGCGTCCTCCAACGCGGGCACGATCTCCGCGCCGAGGGCGCGGCTCTTGACCGGGTCGTCGCGCGCGAGCAGCCAGCGGGTGAGCAGCGCGTGCAGCTCCGCGGTGACGTCCCCGTGGTCGAGCAGCGCCTGCACGGCGCGGACGAGCGCCGCGCGCTCCTCGAGCTCGCCGCGCACGCGGCCGAGCGCGAACTCGGGCGTCGTCGCCGCGCTGCCCTGCGCCGCGACGAGGAACGGGGAGTTCTCGATCTCGAGGCGGCCGTCGAAGAGCCGCGCGAGGATTTTCGTGTAGGACTGCTCGTGCTTCGGGACGTGCGGGACCTCGGGCAGTGCGGGCGTTTGCGAGTCGTCCTCGAACGAGCCCAGATGGAGGGGAGATACGCCCGAGGAGGCTTGCTGCACTAACTTGAGGACGTCCACTGACTTGATGGTGTCGGGAAGACCGAGCACAGACGGGTGCACGGTTGGCTTGGTCTCTGCGTCTGCGCTTTGCACGGCGCTCGCGACTTCGAGGAAGAACGGCGTGAACTTGACGGGCCATTTCTGCACCTGCTCGAGCACGATCACGCGGGTCGCGGACGGTGGGATAGCGCGCAGAATTTTGGCAGGAGGGAGAGGGCTAAAGAGCGAGACGGCAAGTACGGAGACGCCTTCCAGCGGATCGGAGAACGCTGGCGGGCGTCCAAAGGTAAGGAGGATAGTGTGGGGGGATGTAGCCGAGGAGCTGTGCGGGGCGATGGGGCGTACCGGGCGGCGGGTGAGTGCGACTGTGGACCATGTCGCTGCCTCGTAGGCTTTGTAGAGCTCGTTCGTGATGGAATCAGACGACTCGAGCACGTCGTCCGAGTGTCCGTTTGCACCGTTCAGACCGTGTCCATTCACTCCGTTCGGGTGCCCGTTGATAAGGGATCTGGGGGGTGAGCGAGGCACTTCTTGGAGTAGGAAGGGCTGGACCTTTCCTTCCTCTACTTCCTGTACACTGTCCGTACTCTCTCCGACGTGGAATATATGCAGCACGGCCTTTTTCTCCGTGCGGGCGAGCCGGGATGCGAGGAGGGCATTGTCATGAGCCTGCTGTGCCGTGGACGAATGGAGCACAAACGGTATGCTCGGGCGGAGGATGAGGACGTCGGATAGATCGTCCCGGACAGCCAGATGCAGGACAAGTGGGAGAGATGATAGCTCGGTTATGTGGGGTACGAGGCGCGTCACGAGCTGGGAGTCGGCGAGGGCGAGGCAGGAAAGCACGCTGCCGGCGCGGTTGCGGAGGAGGGTCGAGCCCGGATCGCCGCCATGGGGGACGGGCAGGACAGTCGGGCGGTGTCTGCTCGCGCTGAGGCTGTCGGGAAACGGAGAGACGGCGGGGAAGGGCGGGAGGGAGATGACGAGGACGTCGGAGGCGAGGTAGGCGACCCTGGCCACGGACGAGGAGGACGGCGTGGGCGACATTGGTGGACGGGAGGAAGGAATGGGCACGGCGGGATTGGCGGATAGCACATTTCTAATGTTTGCAGCATTTTCGTGAGCTCAGGAGCACCTCATCGCTTTGGCTCTGTTATCTCCCGCCAAAAAGGGCAACCCGGTGATTGCCGTCGGAGTGTGAACCTTATCGTTCCCTATACAGTCCACCCATCCGCCAGTCCACACCGACACCCTCGCACACCGACGCCCGACGCCCTCGCACGACACCGGCACCTCCTTCCACAATGGCCCCGAAAAAGTCCAAGTCTACCAAATCCACAGAGTCCATCTCCGCCAAGCTCGCCCTCGTCGTCAAGTCGGGCAAGTACAGCTTGGGCTACAAGTCCGCCCTCAAGCAGATGCGCAGCGGCAAGGGTGAGTCCGCCCACTCTCCTCACTCAATCTCAAAATGGGGCCGGAGCGTGATGCTGAGAAGGCCCCTCCGCTAACCTCTCGTCTTCCTCCCACCCTTATGTTCCTATCGCTTGCTGCCTGCTTGCTTCTTGTCCTCGCTCGCGCGTGCCCGACCAGCTAAACTCGTCCTGATCGCCGGAAACTGCCCGCCCCTGCGCAAGTCCGAGCTCGAGTACTACGCCATGCTCTCAAAGACAACCGTCCACCACTTCTCCGGCACCAACGTCGCCCTGGGTACTGCTGCTGGCAAGCTCTTCCGTGTCGGGCAAGTCACTCCATTCACTATCTCCTGTACCTCTTGTTAATCTGCTTGTTGGGTAGTGTCATGACCATCTCCGACCAGGGTGACAGTGACCTGCTCAACGTCGCTGAGAGCTTGGCTTAAGAGGGAGCATCTATCATTTCCTCGGTTGTCGGATGTTGTAGCGTTATGTCACGTTGTAATCCATGCTATGCCCAGGTATCGTTATGAGTTACTACCGACCCCTGTGTGATTGTTCTCCCCGTCCATGACCGCCCCCGGCTACATGACCTTCACTGTGGCCATAGACATTAGCTCTTCCGCTTTTGTCTGTAGTCTTCTTTACACATCTCATGTGTACTGCCATTGCCCACCCAAGTCTCTGTTGCTGGTGGTCCCTTTCCCGAGGGCAGTTTATGACTTCTGTTCAGAGTGTATGTATCTTGCTTTGTGTACCTACTTGTATGAAGGCCCGAATTTAATGTGTGCAAGCTGTTCTATCTTTCGCGAGGTGTCTCCTGTGATTGGGTTGCCACAGCACCCCAAAATGGTCACACAATGCACCACTGTCAGAGGTCCCCTTCCATTCTATTTATAGCCCCGACAGAGGAGGGTGCCAGAGGTCACTCCAAAGCTCGTGAAGGTCGAGGCATTGTTCCTGTAGCCTTTCCCGGCCTCTGCACCGTCCCGGCCCCTCACCCACCAGCTCTTCAATTGCTTTGCTTTCCACCTTGCTGTCCCACTGCTCTTTGCTTTTCTTATATTATTCTCTCTCGTCTTCCACGCTCATGTCATGCAGGCTCATGAAGAATCTTTCACACTCACCCCAGATGTATTTGTCGATCTGGCAAAAAGTACGCTCAAGGCAAACAAGTGCGAGTGGGATGGGTGTCCAGCAATATTGAATTCGTGGTATGCATTGCATAAGGTGTGTGGCTTGTGATTGAGCGGTGCATTATTGGGGTGCTGGGTGGGGACAGGGATGATGATACGCACGAGGGCGGGCGGGTGGCCACTTTCGCCGCCGCGACTCGCCCGCGACGTGTGACAGACGCGTGTGTGATGTATGTCACACCGCAATTGCCTCGGGCGTGTGTTGCAGCGCAGGCTGGCGCACAAATGGATGCTGTCTGCCCTGGATATATCAGCAGCTTTCGAAACTATGATGCTCCTGTCACATCTCATATCTTTCAACCCTGGCTGCGTTCAAGATGTGGGCTAATTTAGGCTGACCTCCTCCCAGCACATAGATAAACGACACTGCACGCGCGTATCAAAGAACAAGGTGAATGTCATACCATCGAACCCGGAATTCCTGCTAATATACTACTTTGCAGGCTGGATCGTACGAATGTCGCATGCCTAGATGCACCGCCCGCAGCCATTCATCTCCCCGCGATCTCCTGCGACATATAGACTCGAATCACGCCAGCCGGTATCCTCTACCGTGTCCTATCCGAGGTGAGTCCTTCCTCTCTACCAAAGTATATCCGTCCCGACGCCCCTCGCCCAAGGCTGCGACGAGACGTTCGTCCGCCCGAACTACATCCCCGTGCACTTCTCGAACCACCACGCCGACCTCAACAACATCACCATATCCCTCTCCTCCCCCCTCCTCAAGCCCACCTACCACCCGCTCCGCCCGTCCGCGCTCAAACCGCCCCCGCCGCTCCCCGCGCTCGCCATCGAGCCGCACCGCCTCCTCCTGCCCACCGTCGTCCCCGCGCCGCTCAAGGCCGACAAGCCCCCCAGCAAAGTCACGCCGCTCGGGCGCAAGTGGAGCAAGCTCTCCGCGCAGGACGACGCCGACCCGAGTCCAGGCAAAGCGAAGGGCAAGGAGAAAGCGAGGCACGACGAGGACGAGCCGGAGTGCGTCCCGCTCGACGACCTCCCGCGGTGCCCCGTCCCCGCGGAGGACGAGGACCCGGACTACGTCGCGCGCGAGTACGTGCTGAAGCGCAAGCCGCCGGAAGCCTGGGTGGGCGCGGCGCTGTCGATGCCCCCCGCGCTGACGGGCCCCGCGGAGAGCCCCGCGGACCCGCCGACGAGTATCGGGTTCGACGCGTTCCAGGCGCGGTACCTCGAGCTCGAGAAGGTGGGGCTGATACAGGGGGATGGGGTGTGGCCCGAACGGACTACGACTAGTACTGCTGCTGCTGCTGCTGCTGCTAGGCGTGTTACAGGCACGCAGGGGAAGCCGTCGGAGGCATAGCGGGGTTGTTGGTGTTCTTGCTGGGGGGGTTCATTCATTCTTGGATTATTGTAGAATGTATAATTTTCTGTATGGCCTCGCTTAATAGCACATCATGTTTCGTCTCAGCATTCCGAGTTGCATCCAATATGAGTGGGAGATAGTCTGCATCGTGTCGCTTTTGGCATATTAGGCATATTCGGACCCTGTAGTGTCACGTGCACTCATTTAGGACGCGCTCGCTGCAGTGTCGAACGCGAGTTTGAGCGCGTTTAAGGCTCTTTCAGGTTGTCCTTTGCCCTCACAGTGTGTGTGTAGCCTTATGATTTGTATTTCAGAGCAATAGAGAGGTAAGGGAGACATGAATCCTCATTAACTGCTACATTTCCGCTGTTGCCATGCAGTTTGTGCTGGTATATGATGCTTGCCAATCAAAATATACATTAATTTATCCATACTCTGCTTTAGTCTGGCATATACCCTTCCCGGTGCAAGGTGCAAGGGCGCTACGGCTTACAAACATGCCGAGGAGGCAAAAGGATGAGATGGTGTCCAAATTAGGAAGAGCCAGAGGTGCTGAGTCAGCAACTCTTGCCATGGTCCTCTCGCATTTTCTGAGTGTTTTGATGCTATGAAAACACATAACTGTACCATTACAGGGTATTCAACTGTAGATGCAGTCAAAACAGATCCTGGTTATTCATCCAGGCAGCGAAAGCAGAGCAGAGAATAGAGGCAAAGGCCGTGAGACAATTCACGTGACATTGAAATCGGTGAGCCAGCCAAGGCAGGCGCGACTGGAAGCAGATCGTTATATTGGGGAGGCGCAATCCTCAGGTGCGAGTCGTGATGCTGACTAAGCGATCGGGGCCATATTGTGGCGCAGAAAGTGTCGGGAGGACAGTTGAACACATAGCGGGTTCATTTATGCATCTATCCCCTGGTAGACTTGCATACGGCTAATAGATAAGCTAATAGCCCCGTATGCCTCTTTAAAATAATCTTTACCCCACCGCCGTGGCTGCCAGGCAGCGACATCAGCAAATTCTCCCATAACTGGTATCTGAATATAATTTGCATATAATCAATTAAAATAAATACCAGCATTACAATATGTACCAGACTTGTGGACAGCTGGGCCAGCCATTATATTCGGATGGCACATTACGAGTCCTGAGCTTACGAAGGATGAGTCCTTACCCGCAAAATTGGGCGCATGCCGAACATTGTACCCCGTGGGAATCGCAATGCCGAGAATGCGTGCGACTTTTTGGTTGTAGTCTTGACTACACTGTTTAATGTCCGCTTTAAAGTCCGCTTGTATTGGAGACTACAAAAAGACTACAAAATCGGATTTGTAGTCTCTGTTTTCAATAATACTGTGTTTTTGTCATGGGTTTTCGGTGTATTTCCATGGTTTCTTCTATGAAGAGGTTTTTTTGGGTTGTCCATCCACCGGAATACTTTGAGCATTTTATCGTACCTCCGTCTTTTACTGCATGCTCGTTGTCGTCTGTGGCATGTTCTTACCGTGGGAATTGACTTTTTGTGGTGGTTTGTAGTCAGTGGCTGAGGCATATTGCCGCGCCGGTTGGGATTCAATGGCTGTGATTGGCTGCTGTCTACTTATGACGCAACTTGAGTGCGTGTATTCAGAATAGCGGTTGCGCTATGTCATTGTTGGGCGTCGGGTGTTACCTTTGTGCTTTGCTATGTTAGACTTATTGTTCGGTGCTTTGTGTGTTGGATGCATGTTTATGTGTAGCTGTTTTGTATTTTTTTTTCTTTTGTGTTGTACAGTTTTGTTTCAGCAAGTATCGTGGTTGCTTGTTATTTTGATGATTAAATTATTTGTTACCATGTGAATTTTGTATTTTGGTGGTTGATTTTCGCACGCTATGTGTCTGTGCAGTAGGGATTACGATTGATCGATTGTGATTGGCTGTGATTACTTGGTCCTTTGCTTTGTAGCACCTTTACTGATTGTTTGGCCGTTTTATGAGTCCTTACCCGCAAAATTGAGTGCGTGCCGAACATTGTACCCGTGGGAATCACTGTTGCCGAGAATGCGTGTGACTTTTGTGCTGTAGTCTTGAATACAGAATTCAATGTCTGCTAGTATTGGAGACTACAAAAAGACTACAAAATCGGATTTGTAGTGTCTGTTTGCAATCAGTGTGTTTTCATCTTGGGTTATTCATGTATTTCTGTGGTTTCTTCTATGACGAGGCTTTTTTGGGTTATCTGTCTACTGGAATATTGTGAGCATTTAATCATATCTCCTTCTTTGCTGCATGCACTTTGTCGTGTGTGGCATGTTGTTACAGTGGGAATTGACTTCTGTGGCTGTTTGTAGTCGGTGGCTGAGGTGCTGCTGATAAGCCCCAACGATCTTCTGACCCCCGAAATTGCGGATTTGACATATCATACATCCCCTCCAAAGTTTATCTGACACCACCTGTCGAACCTCTTACGCTACAAGTAACCGACGATGGGTTCTGGATTTAATTCCAGACCTTCTAACGTCCTCAAGGCAGGCGCAGATCACCAACATGATTTATCTCCGCAGCCAGACGCTCCGAAGTCACCCGGGAGAATACCTTCGTGACTAATTATCTCCGGGAACGGCGGAGGCCCATGTTGCAGTGCATCATTGTTATTACCACTACCCAGTCATCACGCCCCTTCGTTGCCGTCAAGCGACCGAGTCAGTGGACATTGTCAGACAATGTTATCGTTCAAATGCCAAACTGCGCTGTCGCCGCTCGCTGAATGTCGTTACCCTCCAGGCTGGAAGTGTACCACTACTACCAGCATCAAGCCGAAGAGACCTGTACATACAGGTCGGTCTTGGAAGGTCTGGTAGATGCGGACTTCAACAACTGGTTGGGGGTAGGAAATGAAGATCTATACGACATATCCTTCGAGCGTGCCAAGCACCTTCTGTTAATGGGAGAAAGGATGAGGGCAAGTATTGCGAGAGGAACTGTGTAGAATGCTCTAGAGGGGCTCAGAGCGTTCCATGATTGGCCAAGGATTGTTCCCACCTTATTGTTTATGCTTTTCCCATGCTATTGTTAAAGATTTTCTCACCCCTTGTTCTTGATTTCACATGCCCTTTTGTTTTCTTTCATGCTTTTCCCACCTAATTGTTTACCACTTTCCCATGCCTATTGTTTTGGCCAGTCACCCATGTTCTCAAAGCTTCAGGGATTGGCTGGAGTTGGATGACTCATACCTCTCTCTCACACTATTGTTTACCTTTTTCTCACACTATTGTCTCCTCCCAAGTATCTTCTCACCCTATTGTTTGTAATTTCAAATTACTGTAGGGTATATAAGGAGCTCAGTAGGGAGAGGAAAGAGAGGATCCCGCTCGAACACAAGGGAACTGCTCGACCAATGTTAAATCCAGCATTCTCTTGGGGAGCTTGACGACCTTTCCGCTTAGTAATTTCTAGGTGGATTTATATCTGTCGCAAGTTCTGCTGACAATGTAAATCGACGGTCGGATGGAACATATCAGTCAGCAAGCGGCCGGAGCTAAACCGCACGTGAACGGCCTGCAGTACCGCGTGATGAGGTACTTTAAGCGAGCATTGACGCGTCGAGGCTACCTCTAGGACCTAGGACGAGCATGTGGAAACACGGCAGGATTGTATGGGACATGGTATAACGGTGGGCAAAGGCTGAGTAATTGTGTGGGTTGCGGAGCATATTCATTATTTAACTCCGGACGGACGCAAAACCATTCCAATGGCATAAAAATGTATGGAGCGTAGTAGAAAATACAAGTTTCGACTTGACCATCTCAGAGAATTAGTGTTACGATCTCAGTGACCCTAGAAGTTCGAAAGCGTCGAACTTAGCGAATTATAACCGATCCTAGCTTTGCCAATAGGCCTGACTTGTCGAGAGAATTATCTCCGCCATCGATTCAATTAGCTCCGGTGAGTCTCACATAGTGAAATAAAATTAAACATGTCTTTCTAGCGTTTCCTACTCCCGTGGGCCCGAACCTACACTCGGTTTCGTGGTTTGCGACTTTGTTTGCGACTTTCCGGAGATAAATACTCCGGAGCGTCCATTAGTGTTTGTTTCAGGTGTCAAGGTTTTTTTTGTTTTATTTTCCTAGGTCTTCCTACGGACTACCCTACGGCGCCTTACTCCTCCTTTCCCCCTTGAACTATTAAATACCCTTCAGTTGTCTCGGACCGCCTTCACCCATATCATGGGGTTTAGGTTTATTGCTTTTGGTCCTTGGTGATTGTTGTGTGTCTGTGCATATCACCGCACCGGTTGGGGTCTCTGGCTTCTCATTGGCTCCTGCTTACTATGACATCGCTTGACTGCAGAAAGCGCACTTCTGTAGTTGAGTAATGTCATTGTTGCCCACTTGCTCATTAGTCTAGGACGTGCAGCAGTTGAAGCATGTCAACTTGGTGGGATGTGCTTCCTGTTAATCCAATCGTTACTGGTACATACACATTGATCTTATGTTGGTTATAAGAGGTTCTTGAATGTTGCACTTGTGTTCTGAAATAATACACTGACAACATTGATTGTTTTTCACACACATAGTCTGAGTCGACGTGTGGGTGGCAGAGACTATGATACAAGTCTCTTTGGTGGCAGGCATCTTGTGCCTGTTTTTTCAATCTCTGCTGCCTCTGGAACCCTGATTTCTTCTGCTCAGTGGTCTCTATATGTCCCCTTGAGAAACTGAAACTAGTACATGTGTAATATATATTTTGTTTCTGCTCCCAGCTGCTGGGGTACTCTTTGAGTATCCTTTCTGATGACTGTCCTTCAGCTTGGTTCAGGAAAAATGAGTGCGAGGGAGCTGCCAATCGAAAATTGGCAGTGGATGAGCACTCTGGTTCTGGTAGGATGGTACCTGGAGTCTGCAGGTATTATTGACTGTCTCTTCCACTGGGGACAAATGACCTGTGTGACAGAGCCGCCAATCTTTGATTGGCAGCAGAGGAGCACTTTGATCTATGTTACTTGTGTCTAGTAGTGCAGCTGCTACTATCCCCTGGGCTGGGTACAAATACAATTTTGTAGCCACCAATACAGACCAACTTTTAATCTGTCAGAGTGGCAGGGACTTTTATGGTATAATGATGGCAGGGCCACAGGAGGACAAAGTATGAATGAAGGGGACATCGCACATACAGATCTGAGGGCTTTTGATATGTGCATAAGACAGAGTACTGTATACATCAATTGGAACATTTATACACCCAATGCTATCACTTATCAGACACAACTCAGGACTCGTGTCCTGCCATGCATAGCAATGGCCCTCTACTGACAGGTGTTGTAAGACTCCCGCAAGAAGTACAATATGCACCAGACTTACACATATTGCAAGCTCAGGCCAGCTTGCTTTGACCCATAATCACACTATCAGCTGTGTTTTGCTTGGTATTCTACATCCCAGAATGAAATACAGACTCAATGCATTGGCTGATGCACACAGTACAACATATGATTACTCAGGCTAGCTACAATACAGGGTTTGCTATGGCTACATGCTCAATGCAATACTATCTGGGAATCAACCCCCGCCCTAATCAATAGAAAACAAACCATATCACTACAACAAACTACATCAGGGTATATCAACAGGTGAGATGTTAGGGACATACCTAATGCACTAGTCATCCTGTATGCATAGAACCCGGCAGCAGTACCATAATAAAACCTGCAAAACAAATCAGAATGCTCAGTCACTAAATGTGAGGGACACACCTAGCAAGCAGGACCCAGACTCCTCCGGCAATCTAAGAACCTCTATTAATATGTGCACACATTAAGGCAGAGAAATGGCTTACCTGCAACAGAGACGTGTCAAGACACGATGAGGGCCTCATCTAGGTCGCGTCAACCCTGCCGTACACGCACTGTAGGAAGGTACTCAGGGGGAGTTTGACGAGAGGCAACGGGTTCACAAAAAGAACTTACCCGCGGAGAGGTACATCAGGAAAAAAGCCATCTGCCGGTAGACACCAGCCACTGCTTAGTAGCTTGCAGTAGACTTCGCAGATGAGTGAATACTCTGTCAGGACATGTAGCTATATGAGGCAGATAGCCTTCCCAATCAGGGTATGTTGTACTTGGCAGTTGCTACATACCCCTACAACGGCTACAACGGCTATGCCAAGCTACAATTGCTATTCACTGCTTCACATTGATCTCTCATTCCTCAGAGATCTTACTTTTGTGCTTTGGGGCCCTTGCTCAAGATAATTTCAATGAATAATCACAAAATTGTTGCTGTTTCATGACTTGTAGCTACATCTATGTATATACATGAGGACAAAGCATATCAAACATCTGCAAGTCAATATACTTGTTCAATAAGAGGTCTGAACCACTTGTACTGGTCCAGGAACTCCTAACAGCTGCTGATCCATATTTTGGTGCAAGATGGCATGTACGCAAAATATCAGACACCCTAATGATCGACAAGTTTGGCCTTGCATGGTGCGTCGAAGGCACAAGCTTATACATAGTTGTCACGGGGTCAAGGGACTGAAGCGGGCGGTACCAATGGACGTAGGCAAGCGGCTCTTGGTGGTGTGCACCACCAAGCTCCGGCGGTAGAGTAAAGATGACACGTACTTCAGCAATGCGCAGACCTAAAATAATTCTCGATAAGACATAAGTTCCTGAGTGCTTGTTGGACTCACCTCGCATACCGTGAGGATCCAGTTGGCGCTCGCGGCGATCTTCCATTGCTAAGACAGTGTCGAAGTGAGCAGGGGTGTCTGCCTTCCTTGGATCTCTCATCCTACGGATTGGCACAGCATGGATTCTTGTATATCTAGATGAGTTATCTGGGAAATGGTAACTGGGGGGGAGTGGCACAAGTGCTGTCTTGTACATGTTGAAGACATCAAAGTGGCTCAGGGTAACGTTGATGTCAGGATAGTGCTCCACAAGGAAAGTACAAAGCGCTGGCAGGAAGTCAACAGCACTGTAGTCATGTTCCAGGTCCGCAAGGTGTAGGTTGGGGTGTGGACATCTGCGGGCAATACGGACAGAGTCTTCAAGATGGCTCACCCAAAGCATTTCCGCAAGTGTCTCATACTCATCATCATTGCTTCCCTCTTCCTCATCTTCCTCATCCTCCTCACCGCAGTCCTCTGCTTCCGCACCGCTCTTAGATGCAGAGAATTTAGTACAGCCTGTTGCCCAGTCGATGTAAGTAGCCCGTGTTAGGATTGGATTGTATCGGACGCTTTCAGCAGCCACAATAACCAAATAGGTACAAACAGTTTCGCATTTTTGGTAATTGTTCTACTGGATGTACTTTTCTTTAGTCCGTTGCTCTATACTAGCCTCCGGTTTGTGTCTGTGTCTGTGTCTGAGTCTCTGGGCATCTTTAGTGTCCTTCTGGTCTATCCCTGCCACGTCTAATAGCCCGGCGGGTGACAGCATCCTGACGCTGAAGCCATCTCGTCATCTGGATCTCATAGTCTCTCTTGTTGCTCACGTGATAAGCTTTCTTGGCATACTCGATATGAAGCCACTCAGGTGATTCTGTGTTGTAGCCATCCGCAGTCCCAAGAGATCGGATTGCGGACACGTAGTGAAGAAGCGAGTGAATATTGAACTCCTTGCGTACCAAGTAGTCGACAAAAATGTCCTTCACTTCATGGAACCCATCGAGTGCCTGCTGCATCAAAGCCAGTGTTTCTGACGTGTGACGCTGGTACTGTGAATAATGGATAAAATTGAGGAGGTATGATGCCGCCTTTGTCACCCGATTATCTACAGCGCCAGTGCAGATAGCAATGAAGATGTGTGCCATTTGCTGCTGCTCGTTCCCTGTCCACTGTGAAATTGAAGAGATACCCTTCGCAAAATGCCGCAAACCTCGGGTCTGCCCCAGGCTCAGCGACTACCACGGGCTCGATCAGGACGTGATCCTCGATGCCATTGGACATTACAGGTGCCAGATCGTGACATCCCGTCCTTTTCCATCGACTACCCGTTGTGAGTCGTGATCTCTTTCATCTCTTCCTGGCTTCATTTGTGTGTATCTAGAGCGCACTCCGGTGCAATGGTAGAAGAGCAGGATAGGAGGGGGCCAATGTCTGCAGATGCAATTGCTGCTGCTATCCAGGATTTCAAGGAGCATGGAGGGCACTACAACGAGAGCTCCGATGAAGAGTCGGAGGATGCTGACGAGTAATTAATGTGTTTCCAAAGACTGTAGCTGGTAGGGTATTCTAAAATATATATACTGCACCATTA